TTTTTTTTCAGAAGTTGTACATAATAGATCTACAGGCTTAGCAAGGTACATAATGAGTAATTCAACCTAACAAAGTGGGAAAAAGTTGAGGCATAATGTTGAGCAAGACCTGTCTTTCCCGTTTTGATACTAGTCCTGTTAAAATGGAATGACCCTGTAGTTATTTATGTTTACTCAGGATAATCCACTGACCTCGCTTTAATAAGAAAATACAACAAAATATTTCGTAGAAAATAATTCCCATGGAATGAATTTCACAGGTTTAAGCTTAGGAAAGGTAGAACTACAGTAGCCTTTTCAGAATCCAATTCCTTTATGTATCAAAGACAAAGTATCACAATTGTGTTATTACATTTTGACAATGAATCTTCACATTTTCCCTTTTTCTATTCTGTGATCTGTCTGTGTTCAATGATATTTAATTGTATTGTTATTTAATAGAAGGATAACAGCTGTGAAGTGAAGACGTTGGGATAATTGAGTAAACATTTGACCATTAATATGCATCGTAGCGACTCCAGTCCTACATATCGACATATTTAATTAGAAAATGTTCATGCTAAAAATATTTCATGATCTGTATATTATTTTTCTTGTACACAGGGATTCATCAACTTTGACACAGATTGCTTCAAGAAATATGGAAAAGTATGGGGGTAAGTCTGCATGCTGTAGTGTGTTTCTGCATATAAAGTCTCTCTGTATATAGTTTTACAAGGTCTATTGATATGTCTGCATAACAAGCTCACCTGGTGTTTCGTTATTTTTCTATTCATATTCTGTTCAATTCTTATCTTATTTAGCATTTTTGATGGCCGTCAGCCCGTGCTGTGCGTCACAGATCCTGCTATGATAAAAGCTGTGCTGATAAAGGAGTGTTACTCTCTCTTCACCAACCGCAGAGTAAGCAAAATAACTTCATCACACATTCAGACACTCGTGATTGCTTGAACTCTCCTCATCAGTAGGCTATGTGATTCTCTGTTACAGAACTTCCGCCTGAACGGACAACTGTATGACGCTGTGTCCATCGCTGAGGATGACCAGTGGAGGAGGATCCGCAGCGTCCTCTCGCCCACCTTCACCTCAGGAAGACTGAAGGAGGTACAGCCCCCTCCTGCTCTGTACCTCCTCTGCCTTTTATTGAATTTTCTTTCTTTTGCGATCAAATGTTTATTAAGATTAATACACAAAATGTACAATCAAAGGCACGACTTGTTTTTAATTTGACAACAATAGCAAAGAGTACATGCTTAGAAAAAATGCAGTCGGTCAGATTGCTGAGAGATTGCTGAGAGTTTTTTTTTATTGTCTTTCATGCTTCTAGTTTGTAGAAAGTCTTCTTTACCAATTGTGTATGAAGGGTTTGCAAAAAAAGTCATGTTTTGTACATGGAGGACAAAACGCTGTACAACGGTTCAACCACACTGACAAGTGAAAGGGCGGAAAGTGACAAAGATCTCTCTGAGCAACAGAAGTTATGAAATGAAGAAATCATCAGTCAAATAAATTGGAAGTTTAGCATCAAATTGTCTGCAGATTTAAATAGGAACAGGTTCCTGCTTCAGTGTCAAGTGCACAATAATGCAGCCTATAACAAGCTGGAATATTAACAGGCGTGTTGCTTAAGCAAAGTCATTATTAAAACCTGAACGATAGAAATAAAGTTAGTTCTATTTGAATTGTATTACAGAGTATCATACTATGGACTGATAAATCGAAGTTTAAACCTCCTCAATCTAACCAGTGAGTAGACTGCAGAGGGCACAAAGCAAACCGGCTTCCAAGCTTATTTAGAGCCCAAATCTTTATATATCCAATCCAAATATATAAATATATATATTACACAACACAAAGCGAAACAGCAGCAACGCCGTGCCAGTGTATTGCATTGTGTTTTATTGACCAGTATTTCAGTAAGCCTTTTCTTCTGTCTATCTGTGTCTCAGATGTTTAGCATAATGAAGCACCACTCTGCTAACCTGACCAGCAGCATGAAAAAGAAGGCAGACAAAGATGAACCCTTAGAGCTGAAAGAGTAAGGACACATTACACCAATCATTTAAACTTATTCCAGAGAATGTATGAAGTTAACTCGTCTTGTTTTCCCTTTAGGTTCTTTGGACCCTTCAGTATGGATGTAGTAGCCAGCACAGCCTTCAGTGTCGACATAGACTCGCTCAACAACCCCTCGGACCCTTTTGTCACTAACATCAAGAAGATGCTGAAGTTTGACCTTTTTAGCCCTCTCTTCATTATTGTTGGTACAGGAATCATTTTATAAAATGCAACTATTTATAATGTTGTCCATCTAGCTGGTAATCCAAAAATATCTGTGTTGTGAATGTTTACAGTCACTGTCTGCCCTGTGTCCTTGATAAGTGTGTTGCTTTCTGCTTGATTCCAGCTGTTTTTCCCTTTATGGGTCACATTCTTGAGAAGATGGAGTTTTCCTTTTTCCCTTCGTCTGTCATAGACTTCTTTTACGCTGCGCTGAAGAAGATCAAGTCTAACCGAGAGTACAGCCAGCAAAAGGTATGACTGTCTGTGCCTTTGCATCCACATCTCTTTGCATCAGCAGATGCAGAACTACAATCACAGTTATTCTCATACTACTTTTAGAGTCGAGTGGATTTCCTTCAGTTGATGATTGACTCCCAGAAAAACAATGACCTCAGCAATAACGAACCAAATAAAGGTGACACACACACACAGCAATGTACGGTATCTACACACACATAAAAGCCCAACTAAAAACTATTCTAAATCTATCTCCTTGCTATCTCCCCAGGTTTAAGCGATCATGAGATCCTTTCTCAAGCAATGATTTTCCTCTTTGCTGGCTACGAAACAAGCAGCACCTCTCTCACCTTCTTGGCCTACAATCTGGCGACGAACCCTCATGTCATGAAACGGCTGCAGGAGGAGGTCGACTCCACCTTCCCGGACAAGGTGCGTTGGGAGTGGGAAGAGGACAATATTTGAGGTTGCAGGAAGGCCTCAAAATAATCCATTTAAAGCTGCTTTCATTATTTCTTGAGTTGAGGTTATAGATTTGATATAAAATCACTATATTAAGTGCTTATTTTCAAATCCAGCAGGCACAGAGCAACATTAATTATCATCGGGAGTTGTGTTTAATCACTTTTCTTTTAGCTGTGGTTTCACTTCCACAAACTCTTGACAGAAGTATCCGGGTCATTAGCGGTTAGTTGTGTGACACTGAAATTACACTTCCTTGTGCTGCAAAGGAGTGAACTTTATATCACTTTATATCTCCAGAGAAGCATAATTCTTAAGGATTATGTGATAATTCTCTGGGTGTGTTATAACGACTGGCCCCTTTCACATTACACTTAGTCATATTATTTATCATTAATATTTTGACATTTCTTGCAGAGAGGGTTCCTACCACTCTCACATATTTACAGAAAATGTAAGGCTACAGCCGGCAGCCGGTTAACTTAGCATAGATCTGGAAACGGGAAAACCGCAAGCCCCGGTAAAATCACAACTTAACGTTTCTTAATGTTGATAAAACAAACAAGGTAAAAAATATGTGTACATTTTATTGAGCATTAAAGGTCCTGGTAGGCACATTTCTTTTCTTTCTGGTCAAGCGTTTATGCTAAGCTAACTGGTTGCTGGCTGTAGCCTCATACCTCCAGACAGACATGATGAGACATCAGTCTTCTGATCTAAACCTATAAAGGACGGTAACAGTGTTTTTTTAACCTCAGTACCTCCATCAACCATCAATGTATTCCCTCAGGGATTCTGGTAACTCCTGACTTTGCCCAATTTAACAGAGTGTCTCTGTGTTAGGGTCCCGTTGAGTACCAGGCTCTCATGAAGATGGAGTATCTAGACAGCGTCATCAACGAGTCTCTCCGATTGTACCCCATTGCCCCACGTCTGGAGCGTGTGGCCAAGGCGACTGTGGAGATAAATGGTCTTGTGATTCCAAAAGATATGGTTGTCATGGTACCAACATGGCCGCTGCACCGGGATGCTAGTCTGTGGCCCGAGCCCGAGGAGTTCAAACCTGAGAGGTATAGAAAGGATTCATATGATTAGGTTTACCAAAAGTGCAGCAGTAATGACCTGAACGCTGCAGGCAATTTCTTTATTGCTGTTATTGTTACATGGTGCGTGTGTTTGTGTGTGCATGTGTGTGTGCATGTGTGTGTGCGTGTATGTGTGCGTGCATCCTCAGGTTCAGCAAGGAAAACAAGGAGACTATTGATCCCTACACGTACATGCCTTTTGGGGCAGGACCAAGGAACTGCATCGGGATGCGATTTGCTCTGGTGATGATGAAACTAGCAATGGTGGAGATCCTGCAGAGGTTCAGCTTCTCTGTGTGTAAGGAGACTGAGGTGAGACCACACTGATTGTTGTTGCTTTTTTATGGTGAATGAATAATCATCTTTCATGGCGTATGTGTATTGCTGTCCAAATTGTATTTGTTGCTAGTTTTATTGAGATATTGAGGCTTATATAATGCCAAAGATAGCCAATCAGGGTGTTGCAAAGGCCTTGAAGCCTTTTTTACCCTTTGTGATACTGCCAGCTGTTTGTATGTTTCATACATTGTTGACTTTGTTCACAACTCTTTTCTCTTCACATGTAATTTCCTGTCAGATCCCCTTTGAGATGGACATCCAGGGCCTGCTGATGCCAAAACGACCAATCAAACTTAAGCTGGTGTCACGTTCTGAATCCTCAAATTAAAAAGAATGAACGAGATAAAGGATTATGAACATTTCTATTTTTGTAATGGTAGCCTAATAGTACAGTTGTGTGTTCATCTGTATCAGTTAGTTCTCTTTTTTGTTCCCATTAAAGCTTGCACCAATGTTCATCCTAAACTAAGTGACAAATGGATAATTTGACACGCCTGTGTTAATAAAGGATAGTTTGGGTCTTCCTCATGGGCACTGTCATTCTTATATGTGATTTGATCACTGGAACAGCAACATGCAACTTACCGGGGCTACAAATGATCAACATTTGGCTGCACAACAGAGGCTTGAAAATATAAAATACAACATATAAAAATACAAGGGAAATGT